GGAATGATTTGATGTCCTCGAAAAGTCACATCGTTAAAATAGTCAGTCCAAGTGACTACAGAAGTTCAATCTTAAGTTTATCAAACGACGAGAACACTTTTGTGCACAAAAAAAAACAACAAAAATAACGACTTTATTTCAACTATTCGTTTATTTCTCCCTCTGCGCGAGTCAGGTAACTAGTTTAATAGCGTAAGCTTCTGTTATTGTACGTCACACGCATCACACACACGACCAGCATCTGCCAATAGTGAGCCTACGTGTGACGTAGCGTTACGCAATCACACTACGTTAACTGACTACAGGCCCATGGAGAAGGAAGTGAATAGTTGAAATAAAATCGTTATTTTTGTTTGTTTTTGCACACAAAAAGTATTCTCATCGTTTGCCACTGTAGTCACTTGGACTATTTTAACGATGTCTTTAATGACTTTTCAATGCCAGCAAGAGTCATTCCCTCAAGAAGCCTATGGACTAGTATGCAGGAGCGATCTTAATATCTTAAATATCTTAATTTGTGTTCCGAAGATGAACGAAGGTCTTACGGGGTTGGAACAACATGAGGGTGAGTAAATACTGACAGAATTTTCATTTTTGGGTGAACTAACCCTTTAATATCTCATAATTTGTCAGCAGGTATATTAGACTGCTTTCACTTTAAGACCTGACACACAGATCTATTATGCTGTTACGCATGCATTTTCTCCCTCAACTCTTTATGTTCACTTAAGCAGGGAAATATAACTAAATCTAGCACTGTAACGACTGAGACAAATCAGACGCAAGCATCCGTTATATTGAACAAATAATCTTTAAAAACCCCTCACCAACCACAAAACAAGGTGCTAAGGTATCTTCACAACCCACACAGTACTAGAACCAGGCCTCTGCTTGCCATGGTTTTACAACTTATAAGCATGCAACCCTAACCCTATTTACAAAACACAAAAATTAGTCAGTGCACGTTTTGTCAGTTAAATAAAGGTTTTAGAGAGAATTAACAAATCCCAATTTCTTGATTTTATTGCATTTTAAATGAATAAATAAATAAATGGAAAATGTTATTTCAGAAAAGCAGCTGAAAAGAGAAAGTAGTATAATGTAAATGCAGCAGTCACTTACTTTCCTACTAATGGCAATTAGCAGACACTCGGCAGCCTCTAACTGAAGATCGGGTTCACTAAGCAACAGGCACAAGATCTCCAAAAGACGGCAGTTTTCATTGGTGATGTGGCTCAGAGCAACCCAATCAATGTAGCCAGCCAGAGTGTTGAGAGTGGCCACACCAACTCGCCAGTGAGCTTTTGTCTGGGAGTAAAAGACAAAAATCAGAGCTAACTTCAGACAAATACGCGACTAGACGGTGGAGGTAGAGCAGATAGATTACATTAAGAAACTGTAGAAAGCATTAAAAATTTAAAACGTAATTTTTTTTATTAACCTAAATACAAAACCTGCAAAAATCAAATATGGGGCCAAGCAAGACAGTCCCAAAAATGCCATAAATTCATTACCCGAGAACAGCTTGATTAATTGTTAAAAGCAATTAAAAGCTTTTAACTATTATTCTTAAGGTCATCAGGGGCATTTGGTGCATATCTGATTAACTCAAAATGGTAATATTGCAAAGGTTCCTCCACTTGGCTTTTGTCCATTAAATAAATTATTCATGTGACCCAAGACCCAAGAATATTTTTTATAATTCGTTATTCTCATTTTACATCTGTTCGTTTCTCAAAATGAATGAAAGGGAAATTCTACTAGCCTTAGCTCTGTAAACAACAGATTAACAAACTCATTTTTAGAGCAGAACGCTCCCATTAGATGACTTCCATCATTGAAAATAACAAGCTCTTCTCTGGTCCCTCACCAGTTAAAAAAAAAATATATATATATATATATATATATATATATATATATATATATGTGTGTGTGTGTGTGTGTATGTATATGTGTGTGTGTGTGTGTAAACTAAGTAGTCAACATTAAGTGGATAATAAATGTTCAAAGTTGTCCAAAGACAAGGAAGTGTAGTGTTCCAAATTCATGCATAACTTTGATGAAAGGTTTTGATCCACTTCAATTGTTGACTACTGTACATATAAACACATTTTCCCCTTACACACAAATTCTGAAAACAGAAGAGTAGAAATGGCCATTTATTTCTAAATCATGACAGTTCTGATGTAAAAATCCTATTAAAAGTACAAATCAGGGAGGAAAAAACACAAAAAAAACAAAACCAACTCAATTCTTGACTCCTTTAATAATGCATTTTTTTTTTCTTTTTTTAAAACGGAAAAGGTGTTTTCAATGATGAACCTAACGATTTGAATATTGGTTATAAAAAAATGATTAAAATAAAGCATTTTTCAAACTCGGCACAGACCAGATCTCAGATTTTCAACAATTTTGGCTTTGGTACGATACCAGAACCTAATACCTCAGTACCAACACTAAATCGATACCACAGTCAAAATAAAGTATCAATTTAAGTGAATTAAAATAATTTTATTAAAAACACTGCTTGAAACTCTCCACAACCAAATATGCAAAGAAAATGTATCAAACTGTAAAAAAATAAAATAATAAAATCAGTCAAGGAACATACAGTAGGTAAAATTTTGTTTAAAAAAAAAATTCCTTGAAATTATACAATTACAATAGGTTAATATCTATAATAATAATAGATTAACATATAATAATAAAACTGATGTGACCTGTAAACCATTAGCTGTCATGCATCAACAGATGCATCATTATCAACATTTATTTGTTTGGTTTGTGTTTGGGTTCATATAATGCATTGTATAAAGTAATGTTAACATGCATGTATTATAATTATATTACATTTTTTAAGTCATTTTATTAATGATTGATCTAGATTAAGAAATGCTATAATATTGATAGGACAGGTTACATAATGAATGTTGACAAACTTTGCTTAATTGTAATATTAGTAATATTCATATTACTACTGTTACTCTCTCTCTCGGCTTATTCCTCAATGGGTCGCCACAGTGGCAGTAATATGCCATATCACTTTTATTCTATATTCATTCAAATTAAATTAATATGTTTGTTTGAAAGTGCAAAAATTAATTGAATTGGTTCTAGCGTGTAATGCACAAAGATTTGAGCTTTTGTGTTTAAAGTATCATATTTAATTGATAAGTTCTTATGTATGTGCTCTGTTCAGTGTTCAATAAAAGTCTAAATTAAATCAGTTGAACGATGACCTCACCCGTCGATCTCTGAACTCTTTGAACAAGTCAGGATGAGCATACTGCTCTCTCTATTTATTGACTTCTGGCGTGTAGAGAATCGAATAAAATTCGTTTGATCCATTGTGTTCCTCTGTTGTCACCGTTAGCCGGTTTCGCGTGACCTGTGTCAGTTTAGGTAGCACACCGCCGCCGAAACAGCAGCGCATCAAATACCGAATTGAACAAAATTATGATATTGTACCGTTTGAAATATATTATATACCGGTATAATTTGAAGTATCGGTATACACCGCACATCCCTAAACAGACTACATTTGAAACTGGCTCTTGAAAATTTAAAAACCTGGGGTTTCTAGGTTCAAGCACTTTCACTTAAGCTTTGGTCAGTCTAAATCCGGGGTTATCTTTATTCATGTGTCACACTGTACATTTTTAGATGAACCTTTGAGAAGAACAGCACTAACCCTCAAAGATGATTAGACCCACTCACCTTCAATTCCAGACCAGCAACACATTTCTAGAAAACAACATGAATAAATCCATTAAAATCATATGTGACCAGACTGTAGAAAAAGCAGACAAATCATTAAAAATGTCTGAAGAACTCACCAACTTGTTGTACTCGTTCACATGAAGCTGCAGAATGCCAAGCAGGAAGGTGAAGATGCTGTCCATGTTCTGCGTAAGGGTTTGCTGGATATCCCGCCGTCTTTGAATGGGTAATGTCTGAAATGTGATCACGTCCTCGGCTAACCGCAGCAGGACAAGCATTACAAGTTCTGTCTGAGCATCCTAAAGAGATTACAATGTGATTGTTTATTCAAAAAGACAATGGTTATTTGCATGCAAAATGCTCATCAAGTAGCAGATCAACAGAATGCTCTCACTCCTGAAGATTTCTGTTGAGTTTAGTTTTTTCAACCGTGCACATTAAAGGAGTAGTTCACTTTAAAAAAAACTTTTGCTGATAATTCATGTCATCCAAGATATCCATGTCTTTCTTTCTTCAGTCGAAAAGAAATTAAGGTTTTTGATGAAAACATTCCAGGATTTTCTCCATATAATGGACTTCAATGGGGTCCAAACAGTTCAAGGTCCAAATGAGAGTTTCAGTGCAGCTTCAAAGGGCTTTAAACGACACCAGACAATTAATAAGGGTCTTATCTAGGACCCTTCGAGTCATGACTCGAAAAAAGATTTGTTCATTTTGATGAACGAGTTCGAACACGAACGCTCATCACAGAACAGAGCAAGGTGAGCATTTGTGCTTATAAAACTTAAACTTTTTTATTTATTTTTTAAATGACCGATCATTTCGCTAGACAAGACCCTTATTCATCGTCTGGTGTCGTTTAAAGCCCTTTGAAGCTGCACTGAAACTCTCATTTGGACCTTGAACCGTTTGGTTCCCATTGAAGTCCATTATATGGAGAAAATCCTGGAATGTTTTCATCAAACACCTTCATTTCTTTTCGACTGAAGAAAGAATGACATGGACATCTTTGATGACATGGGGGTGAGTAAATTATCAGCAATCGAATTGTGAAATTTGTGTCTATACCCAGCCCTAATAACCATAGAGTATAAAATCCAAATTATTCAATATAAATTCTCGGTATAGCATTGGACTCGGCGGAAGACTTCACCGGAAATACCAGAGCCCATCGAAAAAGAACGTTTCGTTACAATATTTTCAGTAGTAGTTTACCCGAAAAAGTGCTTATGTTACTGTAACACCAACACTGGTGGACATCCATTTTTCAATTAAATTAGCGCAATTCTCAGTTTTGGATGTGCACATCTACTTTGTTTTTGGGTCTAAACTCTGACAGGAAGGCCAAACTTCAGGAGCAGCCAGGATGAAGCAGACCTGTCCTACAACATCAAGCCGAAACTCTTCATACCCCCATTGCAGCCAGAGCCTCCATCTCCGTCAGCATGTCGGGCCAGTGCTGCGGCCACTCTCTCTTGATCATCTCTACTACTATGCGTGAGAGTGCATCCTTAACATGACATTCCTCTTGCAGAATTGGGTGTGTACCCTAAAACAGGACATTCAGTCATATGAATCAAAAAGAAATCTTCACAAAGCATGCAATAGGATAATTGAGTAGAGACACTTCCAAGAAGCTCACATCTGACAACAGGCCCATAGTGCAATTCTTCAGCCGGAGCTTTTCTTGTGGTGCCATGTTATTCCACTGAAACCTGTTCATAGATAAATGTGTAAATCAGTTTAATGTTCAATGTTCACATCTGCCTATTTTGGGATATCGCGTAAAATAACCAGAATGGAAAAAAAATGTAAATAAAAAACTCCTACGTTCAACTTAGGCAGATTTTTTTTTTTTTTTAATCCAATAAGACAACACGTATAAACTATGAAGGAAAAACATTTACTGATTGACACTGCCTAAACAGAGAATGTGACTGGATAACAGGACTAACCAGAGAGCCAATCACATCGCGCAGCATCTCAAATGTTGGTTTGGTGGTTCTGAAACATCCGAGTCAAAGTCTATCATCAGAATGCAGTGTTTCGTGTTTCCCATACATGATTTATTTGTGGCGGCTCACCACAATATCAACATTGACCGACACAAATAGATTTTAGTGTTTCCCATTGATTGACTGTGGCGTTAAATCTAACTTCTCACGATATCATAAAAGGTCTTTAAATGTCGTGTTTTGCGCCATTGCTGTCAAACAAACTAAAATTGAAAGCGCAATAAGGCTTTGTGTCCTTTAATCAAATGACTGTGTCTGCACAAATTCACGGTGAATGAACGCATCTGTTCATGTGCTGAGTTTAGCGTGATTTGGGATCACAGTTGCACTGTCGATGATTATTTCGCTAGACTTGTTTTTAAACTTATTTTCCGTCAAAATAAAAGCTCACAGGTTTCTCTCATTATAGAAATTAGGACAATTTATTTTTCAGCGCATTTGTTTTATAATGTATGGCTATTCCGGTCATAAGTATAATATTATAACAGCATTATTGTGTAGTGTAATGTAGACAGACTCCATATCACAACTAAAAAGAGGTTTGAGTCTCCTTTAAAGTTCAGGTACAAGTCAATGCACTGACTTTTTTCTGTGTTTTCACACAATTTGGGTTGGAGCTCTTAATGTTGAAGTCTCAAAGTGCACCTGCACCAGATTGATTAATTTAACTTTAAAATGTGCAATATTTTCTTACGGGGGAGCATAACCCCGGACCTCACTAGAGGACCGAGGTACATCTACAACAGAATCCCAAAATCCTGTGGGAAACGCTGAATGGTTAGATTATATTTCCTTCCCAGGAGCGTATCGCACGATAGCGTTTCCAAAAAAACAGCATTCGACCGCAAGATAACATGACAGCGTTTATTGCATTTCACCTGCAAGATATTTATGATATACAAAAGAAAGCCACAGCGGCTTCACCGACTGTAGAAACATATTTATTCCGCACCATTTTCCTAGGAAGTGACGATTTTATTCTCTTGAACACATGGGGTAGAAATAGTGCTTTTTCACAATTGTTTCACATGCTACACTAATTCTGCACACAAGGTCAATTCTCAACTTGGGATGGAAACATAGGGTAGCTATTGATGTACACACACACACACACACAAGTTTTTTAGACACTTACTTGACTACGTGCTCCAGTATCTGCAGCCCAAAGTGTCTGACCACTGCCGTCTGTGATTTCTCCGCTAACTGAAGTCCACATTCAACGCAGAAGGGACTTTTGTCTTTGAAATCTTCAATAAACTATAAAAACAACAAAAACAATAAAACATTTCACAACAAATTTACTAAGCCTAAATTAAATCTGCTCATAATGTCTCCTCAGAATATTTGAACTGAACCGCTCAATATGGATTCATTTAGATAACTTTAACAACTTTTTGAAGAATCAATGGTAGTTGCGTAAACGTCAATGGAGGGACAGAAATTATCATTAAAATATCTTTATTTGTGTTCTGAAGATGAGTATTGCAGGTTTGGAATGACATGAGGGGTAGTAAATGAAGACACAACTTCATTTTTGGGTGAAACTAACCCTTTGACTATAATATTTAAATCCCTTTGGTCTTGCAATGACAATAATATACATCCATGTCATTGTGTGTAACGTTATCCGTTCTACTGCAACCCTTGATGAATGATCAAGTCAATCAATGTGCATACAATATGTTATGTATGCTATGCGATATCCCATTGACACAATGACGCCTAGTGCAACCTTATTGATTGATATCGATAAGGTTAATATTAAAAAGCAACACGAACATAAACATAAACAAAATAAGATGACGACTTGGTCGTTTGAATAATGAAATGAAAACGGGATTTTCCAAAAATGTTATTTCAATGTGACCCCCATAAAATGGATTTACGTATTAATACATACATAATAACCTTGTTATTGTATTTGATAATTCACCTTAAGGGCCTCCAGGCGGTATGTCTGACTGGATTCTGCCTCCATCATCACATTCACAGCCTTTATAAGCTCATCGCACAAAGCACGTATCGGTTCGGCCATGGCTTTAAGCACGTCCAGCAGACGGAATGTAAAACACCAGTCGACTAGTAAAATGTTACTGCACGCTTCGCTACTAGTTCAGCCTCTTTGGATGTGCATTAAACAAAACGTGGTAGGTCTCTGCTGTCTGTGGACCGCCTTAATCAAGATGGCGGAAGTTGCGTTCCCTCTGGGGATTGTAGTTTTTTAATGTTGTTGACAAGCGCCACGTTAGTTTTGCATTGGCTATTTGCTGATGCGTCGTTCTGTCTCTTTTCTATTAAAGCGACATTCTTACAAATATAAAAATACCACAGTTAGTTTAAATAATATTCAACAATTGTATATCCTAATGGTCGTATGTTTATGACTATCAGACGGTGCCCATTTAAAAATGCCTCTCGCCTCGTTTTCAAACATGCAAGATCACTTGATTTTAGTTTAGAAAAAACTTTGTAAAGTTATATGTGATTTTTTTTTTTTACGGCACAAATCCACAAGCTGTTTTCTTGTTAATATTAATCCCCATTAAAACCAAGTTTTTGAAGTGCTTTTTTTGTTTTTTAGCATGAATGATAAGCTTAGTGTGTTAGCTGGTCCAAAACAACAAAATTTGCATTCAAAACTCACCTCTAACTTCTGCAAGGATCAATGAATCAAAAAAATTCACTCTGAGTCTGCACTTCAGCTTCTCAGCAGATTTTCTGTCCAGTCAAATGCACTGTATAATTGAAGTGTATCGCCCCCTTCATTATTTAGAGTTGAAGTTAAAACTGAAGCTAAAATCAGTCACTTTTTTTGTAGCCTAATATTTTCTACATGGTAAATGCATAGACATAAAATTAAAGGTGAATGCATAGTGAATGACACATGGGGTTGTAGGAGCCATTGTATGGTAGTTTTTTTTTTTGTCCACGAGATGGCGCTGTTACTGTGTATTTGAGCACCAGTCAGAGCACCGTTTTTGACCGCAGTCACCACACTGCAGCATAGCTCGTAAAGTGAGATGCTCTCTAATGCTGTCTGGTATGTATGTATGGATTTGTGTGTTGCTACCTTTTTTTATGGTTGCAACGTGTATGAACAAGGGGATAGACTGATTCAGGCAGTGCTTTCCATTGGGGCGAATGAAGTCTGGTTTCATGTTAGTACAGATCGGAACATCCACCCCCACCCCAGTCGAAAAGAAATTAAGGTTTTTGATGAAAACATTCCAGGATTTTCTCCATATAATGGTCTTCAGTGGGAACCAAACGGTTCGAGGTCCAAATGAGAGTTTCGGTGCAGCTTCAAAGGGCTTTAAACGACACCAGACGATGAGTAAGGGTCTTATCAAGCGAAATGATCAGTCATTTAAAAAATAAATAAAAAAGTTTAAGTTATATAAGCACAAATGCTATCCTTGCTCTGTTCTGTAATGAGCGTTCGTGACTCTCCTGTTACAAACTCGTTCATCAAAATGAACAAATCTTTTTTCGAGTCATGACTCGAAGGGTCCAAGATAAGACCCTTATTCATCATCTGAAATCGTTTAAAGCCCTTTGAAGCTGCACTGAAACTGTCTTTTGGACCTTGAACCGTTTGGTTCCCAATGAAGTCCATTATATGGAAAAAAAATGCAGGAATGTTTTCATCAAAAACCTTAATTTCTTTTCGACTGAAGAAAGAAAGACGTGGACATCTTGGGCGACATGGGGGTGAGTAAATTATCAGCAAAAGTGAACTACTCCTTTAAATAAAATCTTAAATGAAAGCAAAGAGTCGTGAGAAAATTAAATGCATCATGAGATGAGCCACTAATTCTCTCTGTCAGTAAAGTTAACCAAAGAACAAAGGGAACAGAAAATATTACTAACTGCTCTTGATTAAATAACGCTTGAAGCTGTTTATGTAAGGTTTGTTTTAAGTTCACTTAAATTATAGTTATAGTTAAGTAAGTTATATTTTTGAAGCCTAATAAATGTTTAAAATTTGTGAATCATTTTTATTGAGACATCAGTAGCTTGAATATCAGTGATACTGGCCTTCATTCATAAACAGAAGCCATTAAACAATTATTTTAAATCGTTAGTTCACCCAAAAAATGTAAACTCTGTCAGTTGTCAATCTTATAAACTTAATATTGAGCCACTGTAGTCCCTCGGACTATTTTAACGATGTCATAACCTCATAACTTTTGGGCCGGCCACTTTCGATCCCTTGAGAAGCCTATGGAGGAGTGATCCAGCTCTCAGATTTAATAAAAAATATCTTAATTTGTGTTCCGAAGATGAACAAAAGTCTTACTGGGTTGAACAAACACACTGTAAAAAAAAAAAAAAAAAATTATGATTTGTAATCACAACATGTTTTCTTATGTCAAATCAACTTAAATCATTTATGTAGTTCAGATAACATATATAGCCCACTATTCTTTTTTTTTTTAGAAAAAGACATTATCATTATAGACCATTTTGCAAGATGTAAACAACACTGGTCCAGAAACACTTCCTGTTTCAGTTTGTAACTGTTTTCTTTATTTCACATGTAAAGAAAAAATCTTAAAGATGTTTTAAGGTCCCTTTTTGATTCAGTTCTATATGTTTTGTTGGTTGTATTTTATCCCAGCTTTTATGTAGTGTTAAAAAACTGAAAAAGGAAGTGCTTCTGGACCAGTGTTGTTTACATCTTGCAAAATGTTTTTTTGTTTCACCATAGTCCCTAAATGTATACGTCCAGGAAATGGGATTCAACTCGAAAACATTTTCCCCCATTGTGCCACCCTACCTTCTCAAACCAAAGTTCAGCAAGGGACTTGATCTCTGAAGTGTATTTACCTCCTGAAAGGTAAAAATACAATAAACCTCTAAGGTTTGAATTCATATAATTAGGCCTAATTATAGGAATTCAAACCTTAGAGGTTTATTGTATTTTTTTAAAATAGGGATTTAGCAGCTTTTCACTGGAGCAAATCCTCTTTAAGAGACTTGATCTCTGTAGCTTATTCACGCCTTAAAAGGTACATTTTATATATTACTTGTTGCACCCTTGTTTCTCAGGTGTTCACATCTTAACCGTCACAGCCATATCTACTAATATAACAATAAATAATCTTTTGAAAAATATAATAGCTTAGTGCTTTTCTTTGGATTTTGGTGTGAAACTGAACATTTTTCATGATATTCATCTATATTCTGTTTTTAGATGGTTCACTAATCTGAAATTATAAGAATATTTAATGTTGAACACATAATAATCCCTTTTAAAGGTTCTTTAAATATTTATTCAATTATCAGCATTGTTTTTATTAATATTTTGGTTTGTTATGAATCAGCATGAAAATGTATATTTTGGTCAATAAAATAAGTGCAAGAACAGGTTTGGAACACATTACAGCAGGATAACGTGTTAGGGGAATGTTTTCGGATACAACACACCTCAAAACCAGCGAAGAGGCTTAAAAGACATCTATTAAAAACTGTTAAAATACATGATCTTAACACTGTTTATAATCCATTGACCACTATTAGTACACCATTCATGGGTTTATCTCGCCCAAAAGTGTAAACATTGAGCCTCCCAGACATCTAAACATTGAAAGCGAATGGGGCATTGAGATGCTTTAAACTTCAACGGATGCTTCAATACAATAGAAAGATGAACGTACCATAAATATTTAATTTAATGTGTCAAATGTACACAGCCAAAGACATTTGTGAAACTTTTTTAAATCAGCGGTGCAGAGGCACTTCAGGGGCCAATCCGATTTCAGCTGGGGTCAGACCCCTGGATCCGCCTCTTCATTTAAGGCAATAATATGCACCTTTTAGGGGTAATTGAAATACGAAGGTGTACCTTTTAAAAGAATTTTACCTTGCGTCAGCTTTTGTACATATTACTCTATGAATGATCAGCTCCCATGACGAAACATTCAACACCGGTCATAGATCTGATAATGCTCTTGTAAGATATGAGATTCTTCCTGATTTCCTGTTCGTCGAATTTAATCAGTTACCATGGTAACATCATTCATTGCTATACTATTTACAATCTTAAATGTCTTGGCATAATATTGACCAAGTTTGGTGAGAAATGTATTTATCCCCTCGATGGGGTACAATAAATACAAGTGGCAGAATCCCTGTTGGGGGAGAGCTTATGTCTTTAATATTGAAAGTTGTCCAGCTTTACGAGAGCAATACATGTTCATGCACCCTTTAGGCGTAATTGAAGTACAAAGGTGTACCTTTTAAGAGAAAATTCTCTTATGACAGCTTTTGTACATATAAATCTATGAATGATCAGCTCCCATGACGAAACATACTCAACCGGTTTTATATCAGATAATGCTCTTCTAAGAAATGCTTGAATGTTCTATAATGCTTTAATTTCCTGAGTCCACTTCAGCCCCAGAGTTCAGCCTATAGTCCGATCCCGACTTCCAGCCCAGAGACCAATCCCGCTCCAGAGTCTGCTCCCGCCCAGAGACCAATCCCGCCCCAGAGTCTGCTCCCGCCCCAGCGTCCCCTCCTTCCCCAGCGTCCCCTCCTGGCCCAGCATCTCCTCCTGCCCCAGTGTCCCCTCCCACCCCAGCGTCCGCTCCCACCCAGTGTCCGCTCCCGCCCCTGCATCCACCCCGCCCCAGAGTCCGCACCCGCCCCAGAGTCCACTCCCGCCCCTGCATCCGCCCCGCCCAAAATCCGCAGCCGCCCCAGAGTCCGCACCCGCCCCAGAGTCCGCACCCACCCCAGAGTCCGCACCCGCCCCAGAGTCCGCACCCGCCCCAGAGTCCGCACCCGCCCCAGAGTCCACTCCCGCCCCTGCATCCGCCCCGCCCCAAAATCCGCAGCCGCCCCAGAGTCCGCACCCGCCCCAGAGTCCGCACCCACCCAGAGTCCGCACCCGCCCCAGAGTCCGCACCCGCCCCAGAGTCCGCACCCGCCCCAGAGTCCGCACCCACCCCAGAGTCCGCTCCCGCCCCTGCATCCGCCCCAAAATCCGCACCCGCCCCAGAGTCCGCACCCGCCCCAGAGTCCGCACTTTGACTTGAGTGTTTCTAGTTTTCTCGACCACAGCGCTGTCACCAGTGCTTCCCTGGTGGCTCCCTGAGCGGTCTACACCTCTCTGGCTCCCTGTGATGCTGGTCCCTTCCAGGCTCCCTGAGCTGTCTACACCTTTCTGGCTCCCTTTGATGCCGGTCCCTTCCAGGCTCCCTGAGCTACCGGCACCTCACTGGCTCCCTGTGATGCTGGTCCCTTCCAGGCTCCCTGAGCTACCGGCACCTCACTGGCTCCCTGTGATGCTGGTCCCTTCCAGGCTCCCTGAGCTACCGGCACCTCGCTGGCTCCCTGTGATGCTGGTCCCTTCCAGGCTCCCTGAGCTACCGGCACCTCACTGGCTCCCTGTGATGCTGGTCCCTTCCAGGCTCCCTGAGCTACCGGCACCTCACTGGCTCCCTGTGATGCTGGTCCCTTCCAGGCTCCCTGAGCTACCGGCACCTCGCTGGCTCCCTGTGATGCTGGTCCCTTCCAGGCTCCCTGAGCTACCGGCACCTCGCTGGCTTCCTGTGATGCTGGTCCCTTCCAGGCTCCTTGAGATACCGGCACCTTTCTGGCTCTGGTTCCCTGTGATGATGGTCCCTTCCAGGCTCCTTGAGCTACCGGCACCTCACTGGCTCCCTGTGATGCTGGTCCCTTCCAGGCTCCTTGAGCTACCGGCACCTCTCTGACTCCCTGTGATGATGGTCCCTTCCAGGCTCCTTGGGCTACCGGCACCTCTCTGGCTCCCTGTGATGACTGTCCCTTCCAGGCTCCTTGAGCTACCGGCACCTCACTGGCTCCCTGTGATGCTGGTCCCTTCCAGGCTCCTTGAGCTACCGGCACCTCTCTGGCTCCCTGTGATGACTGTCCCTTCCAGGCTCCTTGAGCTACCGGCACCTCACTGGCTCCCTGTGATGCTGGTCCCTTCCAGGCTCCTTGAGCTACCGGCACCTCTCTGGCTTCCTTTGATGCTGGTCCCTTCCAGGCTCCTTGAGATACCGGCACCTCTCTGGCTCCCTGTGATGATGGTCCCTTCCAGGCTCCCTGAGCTGTCGGCACCTCCCTGGTTCCCTGTGATGCTGGTCAATAATAAAAAAGTTATTGTGTAATGCCGTTGGTGTCATTGTCTTGTCTTTGTCATAAAAAAAAAACTTTTGACAAACATGTTCCATCATTGATTAACGTAACAAAATTAAAACTAATCTAAAGTGAGATTAAAATTTATTTACACAGACTATTTAATGCAGCTTATTGGTGATATGAATGACCATTTATAACCCAATATTTGTTTGAGCGGTTTACAGTATTTTACCAGTTTTGTAATGTTTATATACCTGCTGTCTAGCTAAATTTAAAACTTAAGGTCTCGCTGTATTTTCCTGGCAAAAACTAACAACAACATTTTAACATAAAGACATAAACGTTAGTATTGTAATATTGTAATTTTAATATCATACTGTATATTTTTCATATTTTTATTCATTTTGTTTTACAGTACAATAGTTTTTTGTTTGTTTGTTTATACTTTCTTCATTATCTATATTTGGTCATAAATAATAATAGTAACAGTTGTTTTTATTCTTTATTTTATAGGTTTACGTATATTAAGCCAGGGTCAGCATAAATCACAGCATGAAACAAACCCACCTTCCACGTCACTGGGGCGGTATCCTTTCAAAAGGTTTAAATCTGTACCATTAAGGTAATAATACATACATTTAAGGCATTAATATGCACCCTTTAGGGGTAATTGAAGTACAAAGGTGTACCTTTTAAAAGAATATTTCCTTATGACAGCTTTTGTACATATTACTCTAGAAATGATCGGCTCCCACGACGAAACATACTCAACCGGTTTTATATCAGATAATGCTCTTGTGAGATATTAGATTCTTCCTGATTTCCTTTTTGCCAAATTTAATCAGTTACTATCATTCATTGCTATGCTATTTACAATCTTAAATGTCTTGGCATCATATTGACCAAGTGTGTACCTAATATTGAAAGTTGTCCAGCTTTACGAGAACAGTACATGTTCTGTGCAGTTACCAAACATGGTACAGTCGTCCATCCCTGCTGTAGGCACAAACAATGCATTAACATGGCAACGCTATTTGAGATCTGATTTTTACCAATAAAACTGTTAGGATCATAAAAACCTTGATTTTTTTCTGACCATCCTAATCTTAAGGTAATTAACTACAAATAGGTTAATTCATCCTATTCATAAGTAGAAGTATCTTAGCAACCTCCTTAAATGAATGACCAGATATGTCTCATAAAAAAGTGAGCTGTTTCAAAATCAGCTTAAATACACAGAATTTGACAGGACCAATTTGTTTTGTGTCTTGTTCCTTGTTCTTGTCTGTCACGTGATTCCCTGTTTGTCGTGTGATCCTGCCATGTGTCTTGTCTTTTGCTAATTGTTCCCTCAGTGTCCACAAGTGTTCCTTGTCTTGGTTATTAGTCTCCCCAGGGTGTCTCGGATTTACAACTGCCCCTTTGTTATCTTGTATAGCTTTTCTGCTTGTGTATGTATACCTCTGTGATTCAGTTGTGGTTTGTCGGCCGTTATTGTTCGTAGCTGTTTCTTCTTCCTGTTCTGAGATCATGTTCTGTTGTTTTGTCCTGGATCACCTGTTTGTTTATTCAATTAATGCTTGCACTTGGATTCTCTCCTGCCTCAACGTTACAATATGTACTAAAAATGTTTTTGTCAACGAAGGTAAAGACTTATCAAAAAAGCACTTATCTGAGTTTTGATCACAGATGCCATTGTGATTCCTGGGGCCTATACCATGAAGCCGGTTCAGGTGGGTAGCCAGCTATGTTTCAGTTTAGTTTGTGCCAACCCTGGGTTTTAGGTACCATGAAAGTGGTTTGGCTTTTAGCAGTGTTCATCGCCATAGTAACTTACACTCCACGGCTAACCTGGTCCGGGGCAGGTTATGTTCCAGGTAAGAGGTTGCAAACCGAACTTGGACCAATCAGCTGTGAGCCAAGTGACACATGTGTGACGTGATAAAGTCACTCCACGGCAAATGATTTTAAAAAACAAAATCATGGCTTTTAGTAAATAAATTTGTATTATTTATAAATTATTTCTATAATTATTATACCCTACAACGATCTCACACGTCCAATTTCAGTTCATCAATTATTATTACACAGATTTTAAATGAATACGTACAGTATATAAAGGTAATATAAATAAGATTTAGAATTAATAAATGAAGCTATAAAATGACTACATGTGAGCTTAAATGTTCAATTCTCTCTATATCTTTACCAACTGTATGAACTAACTTCACAACTTTTTCTTGCACTGATATACAGTAGCGAGACTTTCTTTTAGTTGTCCTCTTTCATAGACAGCTATTTTCTTCTTGCTGTGTAAATTTGTTTAAATTCTTAATACTTTGTATTTTAATACTTTTATTTAATAAATGAATTGCGCTGCTTCTCTCGTGAGAAATTAATTTCAATGTGTTTTGAATGAGTTTCACTCTTTCTTACCATGTGATTGGCTGTTTGCTACTGATGTCACACCTAAACTCCTAAACTCAGGATCAAAGCCTGAGTTGACAGAGAAAGTTGAAGATCAGCATCATGGTAACAACAAAGGCTGGCTGGATTGGTTTGGTTTTGTCAACTCGAAACTAATCCTGCAACCCTGAGTTTGTTCAACTACTTTACTTGTTCAACTACTTTACAAGGACTTTACTTCTTGCCAGGAGGTCACCCTCTTGGTCAGTTCATCAAGCGTGGACCGCCTAGCTTCCTCTAGTCCAGAGCTTGTCTTGTTATGTTCCTCGCATCCTTCCTAAGGGTGTGACCGATCCATCCCCACTTTCTGGATTTGATTTCAATGTTTCTTGCAATTCTTGCATCATCAACATGGAACTAAAGTTTGATTCTGTGAACCAGTTCGAACGATTACCGGCTTAAAAAAAACCTGATTCGTTCAAGAATTGAACCTCTTATCACTCTCTCTGGACTGTAAAATTTTTCGCTGCTTTCTCCTAATTTTTCATGGGAGGCTTTTTGAAGATAGCCTGCTACCTCCTGCTACTGTATCTACCCTGTTTTACACATAGTGTAAAAGCCAGGCCTTGGCTAGACGACTATTGTAGTAAGAGGAGGCCAGTACCAGGAAAAACTAGATTTACACCATTTTCACCTTTCAACTAATTTTCCTCCTGCGAAAGCGGAATGTGAAGACATTTAAAATTTCATTATAATTTGAAAATGTACATTTTAAATGAATACGTCTTATTGTGGATTAGATTAACATCATGCAAATAAATTATTAAAGACATAATCACACAGTAAAAAAATATTTGTTGGTTCACTTAGGCCTCGTTTACACAAAGGGAAAATGCAGATATTTCCCTGTGGATTGGCCTCTCGTTTACACGAAAACCCCGTTTTTATCACAGAAAACGACTAGTTCTAAAAACTCCGGCCAAAGTGGAGATTTCTGAAAACGCTGGTTGTGTGTTGTCGTGTGAACTGGGAGAAACGGCGTTTTAGATTCTCTCTTGGCGATTCTGAGGATTCTGATTGGCTTGCATGGCTTTATCCTTAACCCTGCACTGCCACCAATAGGTTTGGCATAGTTATGATGGCGCTCGACGGCGTATTTATGCGGGTATGTGAACGATGTTATTTTTGAAAACGGAGAGGGGGAAAATATTTGTTTTGCTAAATACCCGGCTTTGTGTAAACCAGTGATCTCAAACTCAATTCCTGGAGGGCCAAAGCTCTGCACAGTTTTGCTCCAACCCTAATCAAACACACCTGATCTAGATCCATTGAGCTAATCAAGGTCTTCAGGATCATAGACATAATATATAGATGCCCTATTGGCCGCTGGAGCGTACACGTCAACGGCGCCGCCATATTGGGGAGAGCAACTTTCCCCATACCTCTCATACCGGGAATTGAGAAAAATGCCTGTTTTGTGCGCTGCTTGGGGCTGTGAAAATCGCCACACAACTGAAAACAGCTTTCGAGGAAGTACCTTTCACAAGCAAGACTGAATGTTTGTTTTTGGTTGTATTTGGTCATGATTTAATTAGTAAGTAACGTTTAGAGATTAAATACTACTGTTATTGTGTCAAGCAATGTAGTTTTAATAGTTTTTCAGTCGACAATGTAATTGTTTAAAGCTCAAATATGTGGTTTGTTTATAAAGATAGAGCCTATTTAAAAAATTGATCTGAAGTTTTCGGAGTTGCTGCGGGGCAGCGCTCGTCTCCCCCGCCTGGAACAGCCGTACCTCGGCCAGTGCTTCTGACGGTTGTCGCTGGCTCGGATGTCTCTAGTCTAGAGGTTAAACATGAGATATAATTCGTATAATTTGTGTTTACCTTTGGTCTCATTAATCTATAAATGGTTCCCCGGTAAATAGTTTTGGCTGAGGGCAAAGTAAAGTTTCATAACTTTATATTTAGGCTATTTTAACATTGTATGTTTGACTGAAGCTACTTCTGTTATAATGGCTAGCCTATTACTGATCAATAAAACTGAAATTTAACACAAAGAGCTAAATATTAAATATATTTTTCATGTTTATTCTGTAGTTGAAATGTCTTATTCTATTGCTATTATTATAGAATTATTAATAAACTATTATCAATATTTTTACATGTATTCATTACCATTTTATTTGCTGTATACTATTTGTTTATTTTATTGACTAAACTATTTACTAGTACTTTTCACTTTATGATATAATTACTATTTGCATTGCACTGCATGCCCAGTTGTACCACAACATATGTATTCATAAAGGATCCATCAGTTATCAATGTTATTGCTAAAATCTGGTCAATCACATAAAATGCTTTTTCCACAATGAGCAAACTTAAATATCTCAGTACGGGGATCTTCACCATTCTTGTCCAAGAATGTTTTTATATAGAAAAACGCAGCTCACCCGTTTACTTGCATTTAATTACAATGCAGTCTTGACCTCCGCAAAATGGCGGACCCGTTGACGTATCGCAGCAACGTTCCAAAGCGGCCAATAGGGCGTCTATGTATATATTATGTCTATGTTCAGGATTACTAGAAACTTTGTTACAGGTGTGAGTTGGAGCTGGTTGGAGCTAAACTGTGCAGAGCTGTGGCCCTCAGGAATTGAGTGACTTAATTGAATATTTGAGGTGATACAAAGAAAAAGATTAGTTTATTCAACAGAAACTCAAAAGATGATGTTATCTGAACAACATTTGTGATAGAGAAAAATCATGTGGAGTTATTTGTGTTACTCAGCAGCTGATTGTGACATTTATGGCCTTAGAGTAAAGGGACTGTTTTTGCTGTCACTTTGAAGTGGCAAATTAATAGATTCATATCCTGTCATTTTTTTAAAAAAAATTCGGCTCGCCTACTCAAACAATACAAATGTTTCAACCCCCACCACCTTGGATAAGTACCTTTATTTTTTTCCTCTTCAAGCTCAATTTACCCATATTGTCTGGTGTCCTTGTGAGTCAACATCTATATCCTGCAAAACAAAGAACTGTTAACCTTGTGTGCTCCATCATCTGCCCCTCACCTGCTCTTCCTGTATATCCATTTACCTGTCAATAAACCTCACCATTGAGTTCATCTTCTTCTCTATTGTCGCCTTCTGTGTCCTGTGAAACTAATACAAAGAAATTAAGTTACATTTGACGTGAGAAAACAGTGTATTCTGTTTCTGTACTCCTGGTTTTAAGTATACTGTAAATGATCTTCCAATTGTATGCAGACGAGACCATGACACCATGATCTTCTACAACAACAACAATCTCTGATTGGCTTGTCTTGTCTAATGTTAAGTGTCCATAATGTATGTTTAGTTCAAGTAAAAAGAAGAGCAACAAGTTATTCTCACACCTGAAATTTGAAAAGCATGTTTAAAAAGTCTTTGATACTTGACACACAACACCTCACTTTGAGAGTCGTTTGAACTTCAGTCATACAATATTTGTGTGTCAGCCCTCACGGCGTTTCCTCGAAATCTGGCTTAGGCTTAATTTTCTAGGAAAATGCCTTTCGGTATCTGAGTTTTGGTTTCT